GCATGTATGATTATGCTCCTTCCCAATAAACACAACGGAATTCAGCCGGACCACAATTTCCACGCTCTCTTGCAGAACTCGCTCAGCTAACACTGACTATACACGACCATAATTATAGAGTCTGCTTGAGCATGGCGCGGAGACTTTAAAGAAGCCAAAAAATCATAAAACTAAATCAGCCAAAGAATATTTCATTCCCGGCAAAGTAGCAAAGTGCAAAATAAGCGGGTGAAGACCTTTTCTATTGAGCTGAAAGCAGAAAGAAGTATGGCTTTTGTAAAGAACTGGAACTTGATAAGCGAGAATGAATATCTCAGTGCGCTCTTCCCGACCAAACCCCTCCGAGCATATAAACGACACAAAAACATAAAAAGATGGCCTGCATGGTACGATTCAAGGACTGTTCAATCTCCCCCATCCAACCAAAACAAAATCTGGATGAGGAAAATGTGCAAATCCTAATGGACCTCCTTCGGAACAAAACTCTAAGAGAATGATCATAAAACTCTTCAAAAAAAATGCATTAGCTCACAGAGCCTCCCGTCCTCGTAATTGTTTGCATCCCAAGAAATGTAAAGAAATGAGGAACGGCCCTAATGGTGCTGATAGCGAGTCCCTCTCCTTTATAAACTCTGATTCACGGCAGCAACTCTTTTGGAATAATCTTGGAATTATCCTACAACAAATTAATATCGACGAATTATTCCCTGAACGTTGCTTGCACTGACCGGTTTTACTTGCTATTTTCTCAGCCATAAAATCACTTCTCAAAGAATTAAATTCTGTGATTAATACTGGTGGCGGCCATTCTCCTTCCCATTTTATTTTTTGATGTAGTACCGGTATGTATGATTACGCCCCTTCCCAATAAACCCGTGGCGCTTTTGCGCTTGCCGCGGCGCTTTTGCGCTTGCCGTGACAGTTGTGGGCCACCGTATCTGGTTACAAGTATTCGACAAGAGGGAACTGGAGGAAGAATTTTCGGAGTGCCTTACTTGACAAAAATACCAGCGGGGTCAATTAATGTGCATGAATTAGATACTCGGCTCTTTTTGACGCTCTTTGTTCGCGACACACAGCTGTCCACATTGTGCTTTCATAGTTCAGTTACAAAGGACGTGCACACATATTACGAGTAGAACGGCAAAATAACAAATCAATTGTCACTTGTTATGGAATGTTTAATTGAAATTGTTTCAATAAATGACTTTTTATTCGATTTTTTAACGTAACATTTTGGATTCCATAACATTCCGGTTAATTGCCCATTACCGGAGTAAAGCAAACATCGTGACTTCATTTACGCTGTGCAAACGGTCGTGTGCACTTCACAAAATTACGGTTATATTTTGTCGTCGTTGTTGCAACCTCGTCCCCAGTGTTTACTTTATTTCCAACCTCGTTTCCAATAGTAAGCCCTGGATAGGAAACGTTCTTCCTGTGTCCTGATTCAACACAGAAATTGGTTGCAACTATTTTTGGTACACTGATTTCTTTATTAAGAAAATCACTCTCGAAGGCCTTGAAAAAGAAAAGACCTTTGTGAAATTGTTACTAGCATCGCAATCTATGAAAATTACTGAAACTCAATTTCAAGTTTATTCAAATTGAGTTACAGTTTCCATAAATTGCGATGCTAATAACAATTTCACAAAGGTCTTTTCTTTTTCGAAACCTTCGAGGGTGATTTTCTGAATTTTTTGCACGCTAATTTTCCTATTCAAGGGGTCCGGAAGCAGACGCGGATCCAGGATTTCTTTAGACGGGGGGCACACCTTTAGAACATTTCCTCCGAGGACTAATGTAGCGAGCGCGAAGCCCTTACGGCGTGGGGTCCGGGGCCCGCTTAAGAGTCCCGGGAAATTTTGGATTCTAGATGCTCTGTGGTGCAATCTGAGGCGATCCTGGCACCTTTCCCCCTGAATTATTTGTGCAAAAGTTGATAATCTTGTAAGGTATCTTTTAAAAATATACTCTTGTTTTTACAAATTTTAAGCTACTGTGTACTTCAAAATTGCAAACCATGTTTTTTCGTCTTCATAATTTCTTGCATTGTATTTAGAAAAAAAAGGACTTGTATTGACTTAGATTGTAAACTGTGCAATCTGAGGCGAAATCTGGCCCCTCTTTCCCCGAGTTATTTCAGCAAAATGTTTTAAGTTACATAAGGATATTTTTCATTGGTTTAATTTATACTCTTGCTTTAACAAGCCTTTTAAGTTTCTTCTGTTTTTCACTTGATAACATTTCGTCTGCATAATTGTTTTCGTGCATTTTATTTTTAAAACGGAACTGTACAGACTTAGTTTGTAAACTTTTGCAAGGATGCTTTCTAATGTAAGTTTTGTATCAAGTATACATTTTCAGTTTATCAATAAGATAAGATTTTCTACGGAAACGGACATGTTTTGGACTCCTTGAAAGCGCGTGGAAGAAATGTTGGCAAATTGTTATACGAAAACACACCCCTTGACCAATAGTGTGGTCCAAAGAGAAGCGTTCAACGTGTATGTCGCGCTCATCGCGCTAAATACAGCACATCGGCTGTCACACGTGCGTGTTTTTCGTACCGGTACGAACGCTCATATGAATCGCATTTCATAACCGATATACTATGCAGGGTAACTTATGGAGTACGTACGGTGGGATCGCGGTTAACTTCGAAGCTTCTCGAGTTCCCTGTGTCATACGGCCAGTACACAATGTTTGCAGGCCGCTGATATTTAATATCGGCGTCGGTATTTTTGTTAGAAGGTTGCCCTCCTCCTTCCCTCCATTTCTCTCACCTCCCCCTCTTTTTTCTCCCTGTTTTATTCATTTTATTTTTTTGTGGACTCAATTTGACGGGGGGCACGTGCCCCCGCGGCCCACCGATCCGCGCCTGGGAAGGACCCCTGTAGGGGGAACTACGCTGGCGATGCAGGGTGAACTTTCGATCTATCGCCGTAGTTGAAAATGTTAAACTTTTGCAAAACTTACCGTGACGTCGCAAATTAGCATTTTAAGATCGCTTTTTGCGCAATTGTACATGTAGACACTGATTTTCAGGGGGCGACATGCAGATCCATAATCTGCATCAAGCACACATGTCAAGCTCAAGTCACAAATCTGAGAAATCGTGTGATTATTGTGTAACAAGCGGCATCTTGACAGAATAATATTATGCTCACGTTACCTAGCAGTAGTGTAGGGGGACTGTCTGGTACAGTTTGACCTTGGGCATAGAAATATGTAAAGGTCACATAAATATGTAAATATGTAGATACAGATATAAATATGAATTAATGGGGTTAGGAATTTCTGGCACAGTTTGACCCCTAATGAATGGATGGGATGAATAGGAAATAGGTGTGGGTAAGGAACCGAGTACAGTTTGACCTATTCTATGGGAAAGATTGCATATATGTATGGGGAAATATAAAAATTTATAGAACATTTTGACCTTAGCCCTAACAATACAGTATACATGTAGATATGTATCTACACGTGTATTACATGCGGTTTACGCAACACGGCCACCTGTGGCCGGCAGTACTTAATCCTCTCAGATCAATAGACTGTTGACGTAGGTGGCCGGAAGTGAGTATCGATCCCAGATAATCATATGAACAATGGATCTGTTGACGCACGTGCGCTCGCGTGTGGTAAGTGGGTATTCTGACGGACAATAGGACTGTAAGTGGCCGGAAGTAATTATTGATCACTCCTTGGGGGTTAGCCGGAACAGATCGATATTTCTCGAAAGGGGCCACCGTAGGCCGTGGTGTTAGGCATAGTGTAGAGATGTTGTCAGAGTTATATTAAGGAATATCGTCACTAATTATTAACCTCTGCGTTTCATACGTGAAAAAAGTCAACGAAACTGTCGGGTGGTCGAGTTTTAAAAAAGTTTGAAAAAATTAATGTATGTATTTGAAGTAAACAAACACTCACCGGTGAACAGCGTACTTGCACGGTATAGTCCGATGATTGTTTTAACCATGCAGGAATTGTGTTAATAATAGATCAGAGAGCTAATGAATCCATGCGTTCTATATGGAGACCGATGGTCGATCACCCCTCGATGACCGCACCGATCATGGAGCAAATAAATAACTCCGTGCTTTTGCACCGATATTTGCCTTGTCATATTGTGTATGTTATCCAGGTGCAATACCAATTGCACAATATTCTTCCACATACCACCAGAACCATCTATGTACGTATATCTGTGTGCGGTGGTCGTAGAAAATACAAACTTTCAGCGTCGGCTCAGTCGGTACGGTGTGTACAGTATGCACACGTACATCTGTATTAAGGGACTGACTGCATCCTACACATTGTATATTTACACCGTCCGATCAGATAGCGCTGTTTCCCTAATCCATAAAGACGTAATTCTTTCAAGACGTGTTCATTATATCGATTATCTTTCACCGATTTAACCTACCTGCATGTACAGTGGGGGATGGATTATTGAGCGTTCTAAATATTGCTTGCCAGGAGTTGCGCAACAGAAGGGGGAACGCAGACTCCCTCGGACAATGGGACTTAATTGGCAGCGCACGGCATGTGCGGGAGCTTCATATATCTGTACGTGAAAGAAGTCAATGAAGTTGACTGACTAAACATGATTTCAAGCCTTAATACCCCTTTACCGTTGTCTGTACAGGAATGCACCGAACCCTAGTTGTATCACCGTGCCGGACTTGTTTACAAAATCAAGGATATATATAACTAGGTATTTTGTGTTAAAGCAATTATATGTACTTCTATTTTATATTGAAGATTTAGAGTGTCATAAGGCAACTAACTTTGTTACCCCCAACAAGTCCCAAAGTTGGACACAGTGCATGATAAAGCCATACATGAAGCATTAAAGACCGTAAATATTTATAGATTTTTATCTTTACCCAATTTAAAACCATTGGGGTCGATAAACGGGGGATCTATTTTATTTTGTTTGTAAAATGCATCAGCATCTTCTTTTATTAGTTTTATAGATAAAGTGCTTATTGTACCCGTGTCGAGGACGCTTTCTATGTCTAGTGGTGGAAGTTGGGTATTAACAAAATTGTCATCTTCATCTACATTGGTCTCTGCTACTTCTTCATCATCTAAGATAATGTCAGGTGGATCCTCGTATTCGTTATACTCAACGGGATCCATGTCAAATCCTCCCTCAGCCATTTATTTAATAAAACTATTTAAATTACGCCGTTTTGACAATACTGCCCGGTAGTATACCCTGGGTCACCAACCAATTTTACGTGGCTAGAGCTCCACTTATACCACCCGTCAATTTAGCAATATCTTCTACGCTTAGTTTGTTTAAATCCGGCGCTTTTATTCTGAGTAGTTTAGTTCCTACTATGGTGTATCCCATCGAAAGACCCGATATGACGGCTCCATGATAAATCGTATTTGCTATTCCGCTGGTGTCAAAGTTACCAATCGTTTTTAATATAACAATTTTTAAATTGCTGTTTATTCCATGTCTAGCGTTTTGGGGGCGCCGGGTGTAGTGGGTTGCGTTACTACCGGCACTGGCTGTACTACCGGCGCAGATGCCTTACTTTTTAGTACCAGCAACCCCACTCCTATTATCGACACTATAGCTCCCCACATCGCCCAAGAGCTGTAGTCTGGTAAGCTCGTAGCTTCGTCCGATGTTACATCCATTTTTGCTAATTTTAATTTCATCTGTCTATTGTGCTCGGCTAAAGCTTTACCCTGCTGTTCGTTTAGGATTTTAAGTCTTGGTCACTCTCATTACAGTCGGTGATAACGTTGTTTTTACTGGTTGGGGCGTCTCTGTCTCTGCTGGTTGAGCCGCTGGCGTTGCTGTCGCTGCTTTCTGATCTTCCATTTATTATATTAGGTTTGTTAAATTTCAAATGTTTTGTTGTGATAATCGTAGCTACTAAGGGTAATATAAAGTTCCGTACTTGTAACAAACGTCGCTCAACATACCAGCCATACTCGCACTTATAATATGATCAGAACTCAAGTCGTTGGTGAGTTCTTCTTCAGAATCTGTAGTGACGTTATATCCTAAAACTTGTACGGGTGTAACAACGGATAACACTCGCGAAAATAGACTTAAAGTGTATTTACCAACTGTTTGAACAATTTCATTTCCAAATTTAGTTTCGTACAGATGATATAGCTTTTCGAGTTCTTTACTGTCAAGAGCTTCGATATATTTAACGGTATATTCCTTTCCCAAGTACTTTCTAGAGTTTCCGGCTGCTACGACACCGCACAAACGATCTTTATGTTCTGCGTTGTGATCTTGTTCGTTCGTTAAAGCAAGTTTTAGGTCCTCCATCTTATTAGAAAGGAGTTTAATTTTAATATCGCTGAAGCAACAACGTTGCAGATGCGGAGATACTCGTAGGTGTTAAACGATAGATTAAGAGAGATAATTATAATAGCCAGAAATTGTAAGTACTCGAACATTGCTATCATTTAATATAAAGCTAGTTCAAAAGGTAGTTGTAAACACCTCAATAGTTAGTTGTAAATACCTCAGTAGGTAGTTGTAAACACCTCAGTAGTTAGTTGTAAACACCTCAATAGTTAGTTGTAAACACCTCAGTTGTTAGTTGTTAACAACTCAGTAGTTAGTTGTAAACACCTCAGTAGTTAGTTGTAAAGACCTCAGTAGTAAGTTATAATTACCTGAGTAGCTCGTAACTAACTGGAGGTTCGGTGTATACGACCAATTTACTATATTTCACATCTCTCAAACGTCGTTTTATATAATCTCGTTCTTAAATCGGTACGACGTCATTTTCGTCTAACGCTTGATCAAACGATGTTTTATCTTTGCAGTAAAATAACGCTAACCAAGCCGTGTTTTCTCTATAATCTTTTAAAACGCTATTGTACTTTTGAGTCAGTAACCAACAGCTGTGATTGACGCGTCTTCCGCTAAACGCCATCTTGCTTGAGCGCACGTCTTTTTACGATATTTAATCTCTTGATCCGAAGAGCAATCGTCCAAGATAAACAGCGTAGCAACACCTTCGAATATTTTCCTGTAAAAATCGATCGCTTCGTTGAGCGTCATCTTGTACAATTCCGGATCACAGAGATATACCTCGGGATCTGCTTGAATCCACTTTCTTTCGATGTACGTTTTGTTTTTAAATATGGTAGGGCAAATGATGACTTTCGCTTCAAATGTATTTTTATAGTCTGACTCTAACAGATCCAAAATCCAAAACTTAACAGAGATTTAAAATCCCCGTCTTCCAAGTTCAATTGAGCATCCATGACCAAAAATACGTAAATCGTTAAGTCACTTTGACTTTCGGCTTCTCTGTTAAATGGGACGTTGATGCCTCCTCCGTCTCCAAGTTTCCTACCAGATCCGTGAGTGGAATTGTCGTCGTTACTTTTAAAATCGAGCCACAGACCGTACTTGTTTTTTAGGTAGTCTCCGAGGTCACAACCCGTCAAATTTAAGTCTTTGGATACTCCACGCCCGCTTTCGGTATCGCTGTCTCCAAAGAACTTGATAATTTTGTTCCAGTGTTGATACTGAAACATGCCTTGACTGTAGAGTTGATTGGGTTTACCTTCTACAGTCACCGATGCTTTTTCTATGCCCGAGTACGCCATGTTTCGAGTTGTCGAGCTGTTGAGCCAATTGTCTTTCAAGTTGTGATACACGTCGGCGTGACGATAACTTACGATTTCGTGACCTTGAAGTCTGACGCTGATTTCGCTGACTAAATTTCTGGCCAAATTGCCAAAAATGCTTCTATTGTTGTCGCCCCCACCAGCGAGTTCTAAATTGAAAGCTAGTTTACAAGTGCCGGGTACGATCACGTCGTCTACACCCAATTGAGGAAACTTGACCCTCAGCATTTGCCCCGCCGATATACTACTGGGATTGTGGGTAATGACCACCTCTTTTCTCTCACCCTTGATAGATCTGGGTACTTTTAATAGCCTGCTGGGATTGAGCTTTTTCCATACGCATTCATTTTATTTATACGAGTTTTAAATTTAAAGGTATCTGTAAGCCAAAAAGGGCCCACCAATAGCGTTCCCCCCCCCCGCGATAAACACCAGTTCTCTTTCTATTTGTTGGTCGCTAGGCTCGTAAAAATCTTCGAGTTTGGGTTCACGTTGCAGTCCTACGGGTAGTTCGGTAGAATGCTGAGGCATTATGGTAAGGAATCACTTAATGTGTATTATAACAGATATTCGTCCTGTTGGTTTTTGGGGCATTTATATATTTCGACCCATTGGTTCAAAAGAGGCCGAAAATAGTTCACCTTATTTCTCTTTGTTGGAACATTAATAATGGGCGCTGAAAATGTGTGAGCTGTTGAATAAAAATGTTTATTAGACCAAGACATGACGAGTTTGTGGATTATGTTGAAAGCTTTACGATCGAAGACAGACACACAAAGGGAGAACAAAATATCCTTTCCGTCGATCGATCGAGCGTTGGGTCTTTTGTTGAAAACGGTCCTCGGTCGTACGATGTGCTTATGCGCCTATCAAGTATTTATGTCGTACTGAATCGAAATTTCCCTTAATTATTGTTGAGGACAGGTTAACCAGGAATGCAACTTTTCCTCGGATCAGCTGATTTCCTCTTTTTTTTACTTCACATGTGTACCATTGAAAATAGAAAAACACTGTACAAAGTCCGGGAAAAATTTGAATTTCCTTTCTTTTTTTTTGATTTCCCAGTTGCATGCCTGGTTAACTAAGCGTATAAAATATTACGACAAACCAATGGTGCAGTCACTAAAAAAACTTTTTTGTCATCACGGAGAAAATCCTACCCAAAGGAAGTCTCAGTGTACACAAAACCTTCCTAAGTATGGAACGCGCAGAAACAGCCCACCTATTGCTTGAACAATACATTATTAAATACCTGTCGTACTGGTTTGAAATATCGCTTATTTATTGTTGAGGACCGGTTAAATAAGTCTATATAATATTAAGACAAACCAATATTATAATCCCCCAAAAAACTTTTTTGTCATCACGAAGAAAAACTTTACCAAAAGGAAGACTCAGTGTACAGAAAATCTTCCTGAGTACTTGTATATTGAACGCGCAGAAACAGCCCACGCATTGCTTAAACAATACGTTCTTAAATACCTGTCGTACTGGTTTAAATTTTTTTTTTAATTATTACTGAGGACAGGTAAAATAAGCCTCTAAAATATTGAGACACACCAATGTTGTAGTCTCCAAAAAAACTCTTTTGTCATCATGGAGAAAAACTTTACCCAAAGAAAGTCTCAGTGTACAGAACATCTTCCTGAGTATTGAACCCGCAGACACAGCCCCACGCATCACACAGCAGCTACATTTAAAGGGGGATCTGATGCCACAGCCAACATCCTGATGAAGCGCCTGGATGAGAAACGCCAAGATCGTTGGACAGAGACAGTTGAATCCATTGACTTCACACACTCCAGCCGAAAAGCCTGGCACACCATCAACCGCCTCACAGGATGGAACACATCTAAACCTGACAAATGCCCCGTGAGTGCTAATGCAATTGCATCGCAACTACTTCAGAATGGTCGTTTTACCAACCCAGACCGAAACTTCTCAAGACAGGTCGGAAAGGAAGTTGCTGAGCTATAGAAGGTTGACGGTGGGGACGTGAACATCACCAACCCCTTCACCACAGAAGAACTGGTCGAAGCACTGAAGTCAATGAAGGCGGGTAAGGCCCCAGGACCAGACGATATCCACCCAGAGTTCATCTTACATGCAGGAGATGCTGCAACCGAGTGGTTACGTCGGTACTTGTCCACCTCGATGGAAAGATGCAAAATCCCCCAAATCTGGCGCAAGGCAACTGTCATCGCCCTCCCAAAACCTAACAAGCCCAGGGACGACCCCAAAAGCTACAGGCCTATTTCACTCCTGTGTGTTCCATACAAGCTGCTTGAAAGGATGATTCACGGACGCATCAATCCCATCATTGATCCCTAGCTGCCCCGAGAACAGGCTGGCTTCCGCAAAGGACGATCCACCGTGGACCAGGTAACCCTGCTCACTCAGGACATCGAGGATTGCTTCGAGGCCAAAGAGACAGCTGGCGCTGTACTCATAGACCTGACCGCCGCGTATGACACTGTATGGCACCGTGGGTTGACTTTAAAACTTCTACGGATGCTGCCAGACAGACAGATGGTACACTT